TTTTAATTTAATCAATTAATTTATAAATTTTAAACTTTTTAATTCTTTATTTATAAACTTAAACAAATCCCCTCTCAAACCATTTTGATACAAGAGAAATGATGAAGAAATAAGTAAAGAGAAAAATATGAGTAAAAAATAAAAAAAAATGAAAATTGTTTAGTTGAGTAAAGATTTGTCAAATAAAAAATAAATTAGTGTGGATTTCATACATTTTTATTTTCACATTAATATATGCAAAAATGTTATAAAAGAATTATAGTCAACGAATTTTGTAACAATTTATTAATGATTATGTAAAATTACTAAAAAAAAATATATTAATTATCTTTTTTTGTGATCTAAAATTGCCACAATCCATTTATTCATATTTTAAAGTACATATCGAGATTTTAAAATTATTAAAAAATATGAATCGATTTGAAACAACACAATAGATTGAAACATAATATAAAGTGATAATTTCCCTCTATAATAAAAATAATGAATAAATTTTTTATCTATTATATTTTTTAAATTTAAATAATTATATTTTTATTATATTTCTTATCTATTTTCATTCACATATTTATCTCTTTTCTATTTGTTCTTACTTTATTTTTCATTTTTTTTTCACCACTAAACATACCCTCAATTTTTTTATGAGCTTACTTTGCCCAACACATTATAAATTTGACAATTACTAATAAATTTTGTCTTAAATATATTATAGAACAATTTGACTTGCATGGGTTAAAGTCGAAGATTAAAAAAAGAAGAAATCGAGAGATAAAAGCATAAACAGTGGAATATATTTCATTTGAATTTATAAATACATAAATAAATAAAACCTTAACGAATTCCAATGTTGCATCAACCATTTAGAAAAAGCATTTAAAAAGAATAAATCTTATAGGAAGCGAGGCTCTAGACTCTAGTCTTATCTTTCACAGCGGATCCTTATCATATCTTGTCGGCCAAACAGTGCACAATGTATTACCAATTTACCAAACCTTTAATTTGTCGTATTTTCAAGCCCAGTTGTGAGTGCACGTGCGCCTGCTGATGTTGTGAGTATTGTTGTGCCGGCCTCTCCAGGCCGCTTGCTGATATTGTGAGTATTGTTATGCTGGCCTCTCCAGGTCGCCTACTGATGTTGTGAGTATTATTGTGCCGGCCTCTCCAGGCTGCCTGTTCACATTGTGAGTATTGTTGTGCCGACCTCTCCAGGCCACCTGCTGATGTTGTGAGTATTATTGTGCCGGCCTCTCCAGGACGCCTGTTGATATTGTGAGTATTGTTATGCCGGCCTCTCCAGGTCGCCTACTGATGTTGTGAGTATTGTTGTGCCGGCCTCTCCAGGCCGCCAGCTGATATTGTGAGTATTGTTATGCCGGCCTCTCCAGGCCGCCTGCTGATGCTGAGTATTATTATGCCGGCCTCTCCAGGCCGCCTGTTGATGGTGAGTATTATTATGTGTGGCCTCTCTAGGCTGCCTGCTGAATGGTGGTATTATTATGCCTGGCCTCTCTAGGCTGCCTGTTGAATGGTGAGTATTATTATGCCTGGCCTTTCCAGGCTGCCTGCTAATGCTGATGATGTGATTATCCCTTTTCTTTGGGAGGACGTCTGATGAAGACGAGGATTGCTGGTGGGTGGTGCCCTTGTGATGGTGGGCAAATGAGTAAATACTGAGTATTATTATGCCTAGCTCCTCCAGGCTGCCTGCTGATGTTGATGATGTGATTGCCCCTTTTTTATTTTTTTTACACAAAAGGCTTTTGATATAACAAGTCACCAATATTTAATAACCGTATTTTAGTATTTCTTCGTGCTAAATGTTTATCTGAAAATCATGACTTTTTTTTTATTTGTTTAAATAATCGGCAGTTTTTATTTACTTAAATGACCTATTTTCAGGTTCATGTGAGAAATTAATTATTGGGTAACCGATTTTTCAATAGATTATATATGTATATTTTTGAAATAATTAATACTATAATTATATATAAAATTTTAAAATTATGTATAATATTTTAAATTTATGTTAAAAATAAATATAATGTTAAAACTTATTTATTTATTAAAAAATAAATTTATTTAAAAAAAATAGAGATAATTTAATTAAAAATTCACAAATAAAATATAAAGAAAATTATATTTTTTAATAATGAAATTATATTTTAAAAATATACAAAATTTAATATTATAATTTAGTAAATCATTTGTTAAAATTATAAATATGTTAATTAAGAATGTCATTGATTTACGTGCGTCAAGTATCAAAAGCTTTAGTTATGAGTGTAATTGATGTAGAGTGTCATTGATGTAGAGTATCATTGATGCAGAGTGTCATTAAATTATGCGCGTCAAGAATCTAATGCTTCAGTGCAGAGTGTCATTGATGTAGAGTGTCATTGATTTACGCGCGTCAAGAATCTAATGCTTTAGTTATGAGTGTCATTGATGCAGAGTGTCATTAATTTACGGGAGTCAAGAATCTAATACTTTAGTCATGAGTGTAATTGATTGAACCCTATCTCCACCTTCTATTTAAATGAGACCATTCATGGGTTCAAATACAAAGTGCAATTGAGCCAAGTATTCATGTTTTTGTGTGTTAGTCTTTGTCTACAACAATGTCTTCCTCTTCTTTCCATGTGTTAGTCTTCTTCAATGGTGAAATCATTCAAACAGACGAAGGGGATTCTTTCCGTGTGTTAGTCTTCTTCAAGACGGTAACAACAAAATCTTTTCAATTGCAATTGTAATTGTTGAGGGTGAAACAGTAGGTGCATGGTTTTTCTTTCTACATTACCTCAAAAGACATGTTTGCCCTCAAGATGACCTACGCTAGACAAGGCAGTGGTTGGACATCGGAGAATTCAGTGCATGTGTTCTATATTCACCACATTGCTCAAAATTTCATGAGACATTTCAAGAATGCAGAATGAAAAAAATTAACCATCAACATAGATATGTACTTCTTATCATTAATTATTTTTATTTGTTTGACCATATTTCAACAATACTAAATTGTTCATTTTTTGCTTATCTAATTTTATGGCTTATGGGATGACTGAGCCAAGATTCAATTACTACTACAACACATTGAGGAGTGAACCAAAAACTGAAGGTGTAATTGAATGGCTCAACACTATACCAAAAGAACAAGAGTCGGACTCTTGCATGAGACGATGGCTAACGATGGGGACACATGACTACCAATTTGATAAAGGCAATAAATTTCATTCTTAGAAAAATAATAAATTTGTCAATTTCTGCAATTATCATGTAGACTTATAAGAGATGTAATGCCTTATTCATCCAAAGAGGGAAGGAAGTCGATGCTAAGCTTAGGATTGACCAAGTTTATACTGAAATAATCAATAAGGCCATGATAGATGTAGAATCGAAGACTAATAGTCATCATGTCCTCGAATTTGATCATCACAGTATATGTTTTCTGGTGCAAGAAACCATTAACCCAAAAGAAACACAACCGACTGAAAATTTCACGGTTGGACTACATGACAAGTGGTGTGACTATGGGAAATTCAAGAAGCTACACATGTCATGCTCCCATGTTGTTGCTACATGTAAGCATGTTCACCACAATTACAAATCTTACATAGATCATGCCTATACATTACAATATGTTTCAAATGTGTATAACAAATTATTTGGTGAACTACCCAACGAATCTTATTGGCCGGGTTGTGAAGAATCGCAAATCATGCCAAATCTTTTTTTGGTTCGTCCCTTGAGTATCCATCGCCGATAACAGTGACTAATCTCCTCGCTACGTTGGAGGCACCTCAAAGGGTAAGATAGCTGACCCTAAGATTTAACGCGACTACATACACAAGGCAGGATTCGAACCCCTGACCTTGCTTAAGCGTGGATCAACCCCTACCACGCAAATCATACCAAATCTGAAAAAGATTAGAAATAAAAAAGGTCGTCCAAATTCATCCAGAATACGCACTGAAATGGATATCAGGACAACCACAAAGATGTTCTCTATGTAAGAATGTAGGCCACTCTAAGAAAAAATGTCATTATCATCAAGGAAGTTCAAGTGAACAAGTTTAAATTAATAATCGATTGTTGTGTGTCTTTCAAAAATTTCATATTCTGTAATTTTAATTTTTCCAATAAATTTGTACTTTTTTTTTTACCATTTCTAATATTTAATATAATAACATTGTCATTTATTTAAAAATAAATATAATATTAATTTTATTATTAAATATTATTCTTTAAAAATTATTTATTTTAAATATTAAATATATTTTTTATATTCTAAAAATATAAAATATATATTTTTAATTTTTAAAATCAAAAAATGAAAAATGAAAAAAGGAAGTCCATTGAGAAATCGGTTACTGGGTAACCGATTTCTTACTAAATCGGTTACCCAGTAACCGATTTCTCACCTAAGCCTTAAAACAGGTCATTCAGGTAAATAAAAACTAGCTCAGATTATTTAAATAAATAAAAAATATATATTAAAAAAAAGTCAAAAATTAGTCATCATTTGGTTCAATTTAGTTTATCTCAATAATATTTGAATCAATTTAAAATTTGATTTGATTTTTTTTTTAAATTCAGTTGCATTGAAATTGTATTATCAAATTGAATTAAGTTGAATTAAATTTGATTGATTTTCATCCTTAATACAAATAAATATTATATAAATTATTTAAAAATATTTATTTATATAAATTTAAAAAATAATTTATATATTTAAATAATACATAATTTATTATAAAATTTAATTATATATAATAAATATTTATGTGTGGATTACAGATATTAAATAGCAGTATATACATAAATATGAGTTGAAACAAGTTGTGGTCTTAGCATTGACCATATATGTATTAAAAAAATAGTTTAAAAAATAATGAGTTAGTGGTAGATATTTAAAGCTATTTTATGTTAGTAAGTAATTAAGGAAAGATGGAAGTGCATATGCATAGTGTCCAAAAAAGGAAAGAAAAAAGAGTGTATTAATTAGGTGCGGCAGGCACGGCGTGAGAGCGGGACCCATGGCATGGGATCCTTATCTTAGAATCTCTGGCTTACCGCTTACGTCAGTATAATGGAATCTTGGCCAATTTATGAAGATGAAAGTATTTGGGGATGAGGATTAGGGTTTTAGAGAATGAGAACGGGATCCTCTGCGGCGTTTCTGGTGATCTGCATCCTGCACTCGCTGATAGCGATGACGTGTGGGGCGCTGATGATGTTCTACATGAAGGAGGTCTACACGTTCGGCCACGGCGTGCAGACGGCGACGAAGCTCCTCGGATCCACGCCGCACGACCAGCTCCTCATCAAGACCTCCGACTCCTTCTCCGGCCTCCTCCTGGTCGCCATAGGCTTCCTCCTCTTCATGGTCTCCTTCGTCAAAGACCGCGACTTTCAGGCCTTCTTCGCCAAGGGCTGCACGCTCCTCCACTTCTTCATGGCCGTCTGGAGAATCTACTTCGAACGCAAGGTCGAGGATCTCGCCTGGGATTGGCTCCGCCAGACCGTTGGTGATCTCCTCTTGGCCCTCTCCTGGGTTTTCTTCCTCGTTTACTCTTGGAGGGAGAAGTATGATTGATTTATTACTTTTACTTCTTTTTATTTGCATTTCAGCCTTTTTATTTACCTTGTAAAAATCGGATCTCACGTTTTTTCTTTATATCAAATCGCTCTTTAGTCATGCGTTGCTTCTAAAGTTCTCAATTGCCTTCCCTTGCTTCCATTACACTGAGTGCCATTCATTTTAACTTCTTAACTGCTGCTTCTCCAGGCATTAATCTTTTTAAAGTAATTCAACTTGTTATACTGTAATGTGAACGGGTGTGGGTTTGGGGGAATTGCAGTTGGATGTTTTATTCGATTATGAAGAGTTTCGAGAAATAATGGTGCATTGTTTTGGCATAATTCTGAAAATCGTCTTTTCATTTTGATGTTTAGAATTTACAAACTCTATGGGTTTTGCTGATGCTCCTCTTGTAAAGAACAATTTTTGGGTAGAAGTAATTGAATTGTTAGAGATTTCACATCGACTAATAAGTATAAGATGATCATATTAGTATTTATAATTGAGAAGCAGTCCTCATCTTACATGCTAATTTTGTGAAGTTGAGTTAAATTCCTTAATCCACTTTCTTAAGATAGATGAAGCCATTTGGTTGTGCAAGTTAAGAAATTTCATTGTATTTAACTCGACTAAGCAATAAAAGAATCCGTGAGAGCCAAATGATTGATGAAGTGTTTCACTGGCTCGGTTGATGAAGCTAAGTTTATGCCTCCTCGTCAATGCTTAGAGATTTCTGATGTTTGTGGATGAAATATAAAGGAGTTTAACTTATTTGAGGATAATTGGACTTGATTATTTCTTGTGATTTTTTAGTTAAAAATTGCTTCAAGCCGACAAAAAAGCTGAGCCTAGAGTTCAAAATACAATTTGAAAATGCTAGAAATGTTTCGTGCCAGTAATCTTAATTATAATAGACATTTGATATAATTGGTCCATGGTGCATTTCTAACAATCAGCATTTTAGTACATTCTTTATAATTTAATATCCAAACTTAATTCTACAAGCAGCATAGAGTAGAGTGACAATTATTAAATAGACTTATGTCTTTGATAATTGCCAATATGTTACTTTATACTTGAGTTTATTTCATAGTCTTATTGCAAGGTTGTCAACATGCATGTTTACTCAAGAGATGGGGTGATCCTATGATCATACTCCCTTTTTAATACTGTTCACTCTGAATATCATATTCCGGTGGAATTATATTGGGATCTCTGGGTAAGCTTATATCATGAGTTGGGCGACTGTGACACTGGTTGGTTAAGCTGGGTGACCTTTGACTATGACACACGGCCTAAGTGAGTTGTTCTTGACCTAATATGAGCGTTATCTTCCTCTCATTCATCCCAACTCTCAATTTGTTGTCTTTCAGCCTGTCAAGCTCTTTTCTTTAGTGTCTCTCAAACCCCAAAGCACAAACATTTGTTGCAGGGAGTGGTTGTTTATTTGTTCTAGAATTCAAGTTCATGGTGTCAATCTTTCATAGTTGCCAATTTGCGGTTCCTGTTTTGCTCTCTATTTCAACTCCTCTGACCCTCCAATTTGCTCTGCATTTCAATATCTCTGTACCTCCTACTTGCTCTGCATTTCAAGTCCTCTGTTCTTCGAATTTGCTCTGCATTTCAACTTCTCTGTTCGTCCAATTTGCTCTCCACTTTGACTTTTATATTCCTCTATTTTGCTGCTGTGAAAATTCGAAGATACCATTAAGTGAGTTTATTTAACATTGCTGTCCTATGCTAGAAATGCTATTTAGTATATAACCTTGATCTTTCATCCGATGATATAAGCAACTTGTGTTTAAGCACTCTGAATGAAGACACAACTTGATTCAAGTTGGAGAAGACGCTAGAGGTTTTGTTGGTTTGCTCTCTTGATAACGTGGGGTTTCCAAATTTTATATATGAATTTGATGGAGTTGGAGAAGATGCCATGGATAATAATGGAAATGAAAATCATTTGAAGATAACAAATATGGTGATCATGGCTTGAATGATTTGCTACATATATCCAGAGCTGGGCTGCTTTCTTTAGTGATTTAGTTTTATGTGTTGTAATCTTTTATATTTGGAGGTGTTAATTTGCAGCTTTTGCTTAATTTGTGATTTTGTGACCTGAGAGTTGTTGGTGACTACCTTATACATTTTTCAAACTGAGGTTAATTAAATGTTGGTACTTGACAGTTATTTAAAGATTATTTTCTAAACCTGGATTTTTATTTTTTTAAATTTTTTTTATATTTATATACATGTTTGGACCTAAATTCTAATTTAGGTAGGATCTTACATACATTTTCAAATTAAGTTTAATAAAATTTTAGTAGTGATTTAAAGGTTATTTTTTCACATTTATGTTACTTTATATGCATATATATGTTTGTGTAAATTTGTACTTTAAGTGGGATCTTACAATCACTAGCACATAATTTGTCTTTCACCATGTGGTCCTAGATAGGATGTTAATTTTCACAACCTAGGTTGTTGGAAGACTGTATATGGCAGAGTCCATGTTTCACCTACTTCAAAATTGTAAATGCAATTGCATTTACACGTGGATAGTGCACTTGTTTCTTCTCTCATTTTTCTATTAGCCTTGTAGTATTCCAGCTATATTTTGCATTAGAATTAGTCAATGATTTCTATGTGATGCATAATTGCATAATAGTCACTTTATCGATCTAAATGCACTCTATATGTAGTTATTGTTTTATGCGATATTTTAGATTATTTTATCTGGTTTCTGGGTGGCATGAAGAAATCCAGTTATATAGATTACAAGAAGGGCAGAAATTTTGTGAACTTTCTCCCCCAAGACCAGTCACTGAATAACTGCCCTCAGGAAGTGACTATTGATTAGTGCACATATATGAAGTACCGTATATAATAATATTAATGGTGATATTTTCTTCGTAGCAATATTGCTGCCAAATGATTCAATTATAAAAATTCCATTTTCCTGGAGATTGGTGTGCCTATTCCATTAAAAGATTTTGCATTAAATAATAGACTTCTTCCAATTGCCTCATATACCCGCCTTTATAAATCTTTTAATGCTTCCTTGGGTAGTGTCTCTCATGCAACGAGTCTTATTACCATTGCCGCCACCGTTGCAATCAGTCATTAACTGCCTGCTTCTAATGCTTGTTATTTGGATGTCCCTATCCTTGCAAAATGTGAGGTTTCTCAATTTCAAGTAGGGTTTGCTTCTAGGGCTTGGGTATTTATTCACACAGCTGAAATGGTACAAACTGTAAACGTTCAATTGATGGGAAATATTTACAATTTTCAGTCTTTGTTTATTCCAATATATGTGCTACACAAGTACATGCTTTTGCGACATCATTTTGTCTGTAGATCAATTTTATACAACAAAGTTTACTCTTACGATATGTAAAAATAAATAGATAAGTGTTGGATAAAATGCTCGATGTAATGGAAAGAGGAAAAATACTTCAAAAACTGATACAAAATTGTTAAAAGTGCATCATTACTTTATGACTATTCCTCTAGCATTGCTACCACCTAAAGATTTACCTAAGGGGCATCTAATGATAATGTATCTATCGTTTGGAGTCAACACATTTGTATCTTTACAAGATGTCTATATACTTATGCTATTTGGTACTCCTCTACAAGTAGCACCAGGACCAGAGGAGGCTATGAGCAATTCATATGGTGGAATTCCAGCACCACATCTATTTCTACGTTTTGGGTCTTTATTTCTGTTCTCAATCTCCTTTTCTATTATCTTTATATCCATGGAAAACTTATAGAATGCCTGTATGATTTCAGGGTCAGCAGCCCAATCTGACAAATCCTTCCTCTGCCCTAGGTATTCTTCATCTGGTGAATGCTGAGAAAGTATGTTAACCACTGCCAGAAACTTGGTGGTTTCAAACAAATTTGGCAAGCAAGACAACAAGTATCCTTCTGGGTCTTCCAAGAATTCTTTGTACTCCGGATCCTCCTCTTTGGGTAGCAACTTCTTCATATGTGGGGATCGCATTGGGACATACCCACCAAGGGGGTATTGCCCAAAATTCAGTGCTGAATGTTGGACCGAAGCAACCCATATGAGTGTGGTGAGTATTGATGTAAGGTCACTGAGAGTAGAGATTGTGGGCCACCAACTTGCATTTGCATGGTCAGCATGGCCCACATTGATGGCCTCACTATACCATGCTTGGAGCTCATTGTCTGACTGGATCATCATCTCATCACGGTAGTAGTAGTTCACGTAAGTCCTAACCAAGTTCTCCAAAGCAAACCATATAAGAAGACCATCATTTGCATAAGGGTAATCTTCAATCAGTAGTCTTAGCCCGTGTGGCTTTGTTGGATCTGGTTCTGCCATTCCCCTGCATTATTATGATTAAAACGATATAATATTAACGATTAGTTCACATGTTTATAAATTTTTTTTCGTCAACAAATTATGAGTTTGAGTGAAATAAAACTTAAGATTATGAAATTTAGACTTGTAAGAAAAAAAAAATATTTATGGGAAAAGACCACTAAATTTAGTCATTCAGATTTTCTGATAAAGACTAATCTTTAATGATTTTTTTTTAAAAAAAAGGGTATTGTTTATCATGAGTCTAATAACAAACCTTCTAATGAGGTCAGCAGG